CTTTACAATAGAGATATACAAGATTTTTAAATTTAGTATATAATTTTTACAACTTGTGTCTAGCATGGGCTATAATACAGTTAACTCTTTCTTATCCGAACAGCCTGTTCTTGGGTTTTTAGTTCAGTTTTCAAAGAGGTATTATAAGCTTATCCGAACTTTATAATAAAATTTATAAATATCTTAGAGTTTTCGGTTTGGTTAAGAGAGAGTTTGGTTTAGAGAGGTTCGGTTAAGAGAGAGTTGACTATAGTGCTTTTATAAATTGTTTTTTTTTCTGCCTTTTTCTTCTTGTTTTATTTGTTTCTTTTTTTTTGTTTTCTTGTTGCTTAGGCAGTTTTTTTTATTTTCTCCTTTCATGTCGTTCCCTTTATCTTTTTAGTATTAGTTTTTTTTTTCATAAGTTAGTTTGAGACTATAAATCCTTCTGCTCGTGAAGCTAGAGGAAGAAGGTTTAAAAAAGATAGCAATCTTGATAGGCCATAAATACTATTCAGTGAAGTATTGAAGAATTTACTTGTAGGGTTTTTTGATATAGAGATAAATATTTACTATAGCAGATTAAATATAGGTATTTGCTTAAGAACAACTAGATTAGCGAACACTTGTAATTTAGGTGGACTTAAGGTAACTTAAGTCATAATTGATATTTTACCCATGAGTTTAATATTTTATCTTAATAAAGTGTTGGCAAGATTGCTGAATTTTACAAAAAAAAAAAAAAAATACAACATTGTTGTATTTACTTAAGCATACTCACTTTGTTAAAGCATTTTTCATAAGTATGTATAGATTATTTATTATTTTTTTTAAAAATCTCACAAATAATCTTTACTACTTTTAAAAGTGAAAACATGGTCAAAGATACCAAGCCCATAGCTAGACTATATTTTTTTGTAGCATTTGAATAAATAATAATACTCTTATTAATTCAAACTTGTACAAGAGCTATACAAGTCAACTATTTTTTAAATTACAACTTTTTAATGAAGAGAAATTTATTATGGTTACATTGTATTAACCATCTAACAGACTTTTTGTTTTCTTATATATAACTATCTGAAAACATTAGCTACACTTTTGCTCTCATTTAAAAATCTTAGAGTATATCTTACAGTTGTTTATTAAAACTTTTATGAGCTAGTTTCATGTTTAGACACCTGTATTCACTTATATTTATCATTTGATAGAAATATAATATTATAAAATTTTCTATTAGTATTTACTTTAATAACATGGTATAAGCTCTTGTCAAGTGTTATGACTCTGGTCTACAGCACTGCTAGGAGGTTTGACTAGCTGCTTGTAGCTAGTTATGCCTCTATAGTAGGGCTGCTAATCTTTAAAAAGTTCTGGTAACATTAAGAATTAGCTTAAGTTAGACTAGTATTAAAAAAAGTTATATTAATATTAGTAGTTAATATAGGCCAGTATTAAGTATTTAGGCTGAAGTTAAGCATTTAGTTTCAATTTAGCAATATAATAATTTAGAGATATATAGTGTAATAATTCAAAGATATAATAAACATAGCAACAAATATACATAGTATGTAATAGGTATTTTCTATAGGAGGATCTCCAAAATTTCAGATCACAATAGCCAAAATGTATTGTAGTTAGAGTTGGGGAGATGACAAAAATCAGATGATTTTTTAGAGGGGGAGGAAGATAAAAAAAGTTAAAATTATATATAAGAAACCTGACTATTTGTATATTAAGGAAGGAGAAAAGGGGGTAGGCCTCTAATAAAAAATAATCAGGTGATTAATAATATAGCTCTTGGGGTTAGGACTGAGTTAGGGTTAGCAAAAGCTATAAGCTATAGTAAAATTATCAGCTAGGTATTTTTTATTTAATGAATAACTATTGTTTTATTAGTAAAATTCTTAGTAATTTTGGGGCAAAATTAATCAACTCCAGCCCTTCTAAACAAGGTTTTGAAGCTTCTGACCCAGAATTTTGGGAATCTTCCTATAGGAGTTGTGATAGGTAGAGTGCCAAATTTATATAGTATGTAATAGATAGAATAACAAATTTATGTAATAATTCAAAATTTATATGACAAATGGGAATTTACTTGTAGTAGGTTGGTAATAATTCAGAATTAGAGCCAATAAAATTTAAGCAATCTACAAACTCCAAATTTCTTTCCTTAGGTAGTAATATTTTTATTCCCTGTAAGATTTATAATGTAGGCCAAATAATTAACATTTGGCTCTAAATGTAAATTTAGATTAACGAGTTTTTAATAGCAATTATTTAGAGTGCAATATTTTAATTTTTTTTCTATGCTTTCTAATTGTATAATTTAAGCCAACTGATCAATATTCGGCCCTAGACAAATTTATGGTAATTTTGATAAAAACTACAATGGCAACAAATTTTTGATATAGATTAATTAGAAAAAATTTGAAAAAAATAATAATAGCAACAAACTTATCTCTTGTATAAAGTATATAAAGTTAACCTCCTCTATAATTACACATTTTGTTTACTTAATTGGTGATCCACCAGTTAACCAAAGAGTGATCATAGTAAAATATAACTCAAATTATTTATAAAAATTGGGGTCTCCAAATGTGGCGTATACGCATTTAAAACTTTTTTTTATACTAAATTAATTATTTTTCTAACTTAAGAGACTTTTGTAAAGCTTGTTAAGACGTATCTAATAGTGGTTATAGTGTTAAAATTAGCTCTTTTATTATGTAAACTTCTTTGCAAACAATACTATTGTTTACAAAAAAGTTTATATAGTAAAAGAAATATTTTTTAAAGATATCTTAGCAACCACCAAGCTGATTTTAACACTTTAACCACTATTAAATGTGTTTTGACAAGCTTTACAAAAGTCTTTTAATTTGTAATCTATTTGTAGATCAGTGAAATTATCTAACTAAGACATATATATATATGGGAATAATGAAAATACATATGAGTAGTAATTTTTAAAATCTGTATATTCCTATATTATAATATACAAAAAAAATGTTAAAATAAATGTGGTTATATTGATTTTTGCTGATTATATTATTCAAAATTTATATTATGGGCCTTATTGCCATAATTGGTGGTTATCTTGACAAAATGACAAATTTGATAATATAATTTTACTTTATCATATACGACTTAATATGAAAACATTAATAACTCTTCATAATTTTGATTTTATAATTGAGATAGTTGAATTAATATCAGAGTATAGACCAGCACTTGGGTATCTGTGTAAATATAAAGATATTCAAAGTGAAATTTTTTTATCACCTACTAATGCAATCTCAAGTGTTTATTTAAAAATAATGAAAACAGCAACAAAGTTTTCAGATCCAGCTATAATGGGATTTGATAGCCCAATTATATTCAATATTTTAATTCAAGACCTTCCTTTTCAAGTGTATGTATTTATCTTGGAAAAGTTATAGATTTGGATTCTTGGTATAGGAAAATCAAGTAAACCTGAATGGAACTATGCAGGAACTGGTTATAAAGCTGCTTTTATATATATATCAAAAACAATAATGTATTTTTTTTGAAGAATTTGATAATGATGAATGCAAGCTCATAATTTATAATAAGCAAATGGAGGTTTCAAAAACTTTTACCAATATTGATTCTGATTTATTATAAAAACAAGTTAATTGTTTATAACAATACAATAGAAAAAAACTTTTTAGATTAGAAGAATCACATACACAGAACTTAATTCAGTCTATTAAAATACCTACCTGTTTATTAGACAAATAGAACAATAATCAAATAATGGAATGTGTTTACAATTATCATCTAAAACGTAGACTATCAACTTATATAAATTGGTTTGAATGGTTTAATCAATAGCAAGGAGAAACTTTAACAATTATAGAATTACAAACAAGTTTATATATACTATATCTATTTAATTATATTATAAATGATCAAGAACTACGTGTATGAAAAGCTATGTTAAAGGCTGTAGATGTACTAAAATTACGTCATTTAACAAAGATTAATCAGAAGTAAGCAAAAAAAGATTTAATAATCGGCTAATTACTTAATTTTGATTACTAATTAAATATTTATTTTGATATTTTAGTTTATATTTTGGTCAAGATTGCATAATCCTGAAATTGACAAAGCTAATTTAGAATTAGGACTATGACAGATATTATGTAATATCCATTTACTATGAGGGTGCCCCCTCCCCCCACATAAAACAATTCTAATTGGCTGATTTAAATATATATATAATATATATATATATATATAGTTTTACTAATTAATTATTACTTTGAGCCTCTAATAAACTT